CCTTTAAACGTTGAGGAATTTTTCCTTATTCAGAATTGTACTGATGTCTAAGTGGTTGTATTTGTTGACGGGATCTTAATGTATAGGAAACGTTACTGGAATCTCTTCTAAACCTTTTTAATGCAATATTTTCAATTAACTGTTTCTTTTCTTGCTGCATTTTAAAATCATTTTTGGAAGCTAAGAATTTAATGTTTGCTAGAAGTTACCCAGTGGAAACACTGGTGCTTATCTGTTGGGTTTTAAACAAAAAAACTTTTTTATTTGTTATACAGGGCTTTCGTTCAGAAATTCTTTTTTGTTTTACGAATAAAAAGAATTTTGTGTTTTTGATTTGATAACGTTTTTGGGAAACAAAAGGCTGGAAGAAAAGTGATCTAAGTGTCTAAATTAATTTTTGGCAAAAATTCATGGTTTTATTAAACGACAGTTAGCCAGGTATTGCTTATGAGATTGAGAGCAGCTGCTGTGACAAGAAATTGAACGTGCTCTGACAATTGTAATTTTTAATAAAATTATTGTTTCAGCCCGTTGAAGGGATATAAATCAATTTTCATATTTGCCTTATTTTAATTGCATAAGCAACGATTTATTCTGTTCGTTGTTTTTCTGCAATAAAGGGTTTCAAACGACCTGATGATGTTTGTTACCAAATCAAGGAATATTTACAAGAAACATTTTGTTTTCGGCTTACTATAAACAACTGTTACTAGTAACGCTGTTTCTCTCGGTCAACTTTACTATTATTCAATTGGATGACATTACATTGTTTGATGAAAAATTTTTGTGTTAATTTTATAATGAAACATACTATTTGTCAATTTTAGAAACACAGTTTAGGACCTGACGAAAACATTCCTGTTATTGCCATAAAAGTACTTGGAAAGTTGAATGGTCAGATTAATGCAAAGTCATAGTGGATTACATTGGAAGTGTTTTTCTTTTGTTATTCAGAGAGATTACCGAGTTGAAACACTCCCTATAGGTGTCTTCGAAGAGATTTTTATAAAGGCGATAATAAAATGCAATTAATACTGAACGCCTGTGAAAAAAAAAAGATCATGCTTCTTGTAGTAAAACAAAATGTCCAAAAATTTCTTTTTTCGCAGTTATAAAAAATAAAATTAAAATTAAAAAGAGGAAGCATTAGCAAAAAAAAAAAAAAAATTAGTTACTTTATAGAA